GGCCGTCTTCAGCGTCCGTCCTTCCCGCCTCCGCCCCGGCGCCAATCAGCTGACAGGAAAGGACCCCGAACCACCAATCAGCAAATCGCATATTGAGCCGCTCCCGCCTTCCACTTCTGGGCTATTAGAACCAATCACGGAGGACTTTGTTGTCTTCCGGGTTGTATTCGTTGCTGGGCAACCACGCATTTACCGTGGGGGAATTCTATTGCAACACAGTTTAATACTTTTTATTATTTACCCTGTTTTAAGCGGACCACGGCCCCGCGTCCTGCGGTTCGGTGGGGGGTTCCGTGCCCCGGGGGAACCTCCCTCGGGTTAAACCGGGTACCAAACTTAAAATTCATCCAGGCAACTCCCTTTGACATTAAAAACATGAATATCTACGACTTGATGCAAATGATACACTTTTTTTTTTTTAAATTTATTTGTTTAAATATCACTCGAGTATATAAAATTACACTTAGAAGAGAGGAGAAAAAAATACATACATTTAAGTTATTTACATATTTTACATCAAGATGACAAAAATACGCCCAGCAGCCAGATGCTGTGTTAGGGGCTGGTTACAGCATGCCCAAATCCCGCACACACACCCAGGCGTGTCTGACAGTTTGGTATCAGCCTTCCTCAGACCAACACACGACCTTCTCAAGGCCACACTAAAGCATGAGACCATTATTTCTGGAATGTAAACTAGTCTTAATTGAAAAATATTTTACTTATTTAAGGAGCCTGGATGCTGCGAAAAGAGCAAGTGCTGGATAGACAAGTTTAGCGATTCCTGTGTGTTGAAGTACTATACTCAATTCAGGCAAAACTGCCAAACCCTCATTTTCTTTCTCTGCCACAAAAGCATGTGCTGCCTCACATAAGAGCTTGTGCAACCTTCAAGGAAACTCCCAAATACTGCATCATACACACCCTTCTGCGATGCCACAAAACACATCTGTCGAGGCTAAATCATGCAGCTTTTGTATTGGAAAGAACAACCAGTCTCATGCGTGAAGCACAAAGGATTCCACCTTCCTGCCCGCTGAGCTGCATGTAACCCCTTTGGCACAGCTGAAATCTGTCCTTCCTTTCATTATGGAGAAATTTAGCTTCTGTCCAAGTCAGCCTCAACACTCGTTTCTTTTATTAATCTTATCCTGATGACAACTTAAGATACCTTTGCACTTATTTCTTGAAGTCTTTCTCATCTTTCAAACTAAACCATCTGAGCTGCATTAAAAATACATATTCTTTTAAAATCACATTTAAACAGCTCATTTTGTAGTACTAGTACTTCTTTTAAAAAACTTTTAGACCAGTTTCAAACTTTCAATGAAGGCTGGCTGATCTTTAAATGAAGTTACCGATCTCATGAACTGAAACTTTGACCCATGGTTTGAGATACAAATACAAAAAAGTTAAAGCATTTTCTTAGTACTCAGTGTGATGGTGCAAGTTGCTTACACCATTTTTTCAAATCTTCCTTGGAGTATTTCATTCCCTCTTGCTCCACAAGGCTCTGGAACTGTAGTTCATTTAACTCAAGCAAAAGCGCTTCAACCTCTAATTTTCCTCACCCATCATTTTGCTGTTTCCTCAACAAACTAAGTATTCACTTTTCAGAGTGTTATAAACCCCTTTCAGGTGTGTTGCTGTATCACTTCAGAAACCAAGCAAGCCTGAAAATCACACTCGGTTTCACTACAAATTATTTACCGACCCCATCAGCCTCAAAAGTTTTCACTGGAACCAATATAAGCCTCTTTAAAGAATTCTTTTCTTTTCAACCGTAACTCAATCGAATTAATGAAAAGCACTGACTTCTTGTGCTCCAGTTCCTCAGTCCACTTCTGCAGCTTTCTCCAAATTTAGGCACTACAGACCGTGGGACTAGCTACAGTACAATTTCATTTGCGTTCTTCCTAAACTCCACTTACACTCATGTTAATTATTTCAATGATCGTATTTTCAACACACTGGCATAACCGAACATCAGGGTCCATGCTTGCAACGTCCCTTGAACAGCTTTTGTTAGACGAATCTTTACAAAGTCCTGACACTTCATGTGGTTTCTCCTTTAGTTGCTGGAGACCTAGAAAATTAAGTAGAAGAAGCAAAGTACATCTAAATAAATTAATAATTCTAAAAAATCGTTATATTAAAACCATAACACAAACATGTATGCTACGAAATTGCAAATTTGAGCCATCACTATTTCATGCACCAGGTTTAACTCCATGGATGATTTCTAGAGACACCACAGAATTTCTTTTTGATTTACCTATGTCTGATTCCCTTGGGGTTTTTTAATATTCCCGCTTACTTCTTTTATCATAAATGTCCTAGCATAGATAGCATCAGGGAACCTTGTATCACATGAACAGAGCGTTTGTCTTTCAACAAAAACAGGCTCAAGATGAACTGATACACTTAAACAGTTAATCCACGTCCACACAATCACTATGTATTTATCCAACCATGCTATGTCATATGTAAGACTTCAAGTAGCTCATTTGACTTTGCATTTCCAACCGATTAGGAAGATTTATATGGCCATTATGCCTCAGCTGAGAGGTTGAAACGTCCTTGTGTTCTCAAAAGTCTTTGCTCATGTCTTTCACCCTTAGACTACAATGGCAAACTCTATGCGCAACACTTGCATGCAGGGATACATCTTGAAACGATACAAGCAGTGAAATAATACAGGAAGGCAATATGAAGCTTAATAAAAGGCGTACTTTCAGCCCTTCTAGCCTCTAAACTCTCTCCTCCAACCCAGTAAATCCACCTATCCCTATTCCTTCTATATTCACAAGACAACAGCAGTAAATTTTATACTGCGTTGCAACTCCACTCAAACTTCTGCAACATTAACATAATTTTCTCCCCGGGACCACGACATTACAAGGTGCTTTACTTACGAGTAATAATTGGGTCTAAGTCTCTTGTCTGCGTAGCAACATCAGAAGCACAAACTTGTCCTATTTGTATCAGCAGAGACATAATATCCTCATACAAAGGAGGAAAGGCTTGACAGAATGACACCAAACAAGGCAGGGTCGGCATAAAAAAAGCATAGCGCTTCGACTGGGTTAAAACTATCAAGGAAAAGGAAATGGTTAAGTAAAAAGGAATTATTATAAAATATCCAGTCAAGAATTGTTGTTACTTTTACAACTGTAAAGAACACAGTGGCATTTAGCCAAAACTACATTCAACCTAGTCAAATAATTCTAATTTACACAACAATGTATTTCGGGGTCGCTGGGGTGCTTACCTGTGAGCAGAGTTCCCATCACATTGATAGCTAAACGAGCCACGCTGAGAGACTTAGGTAGGGCGTACTGGATACACAAAAACGAAAGTAACTGGATGGCAAATATCTGTTAAGTAGGTGAAAGGCAAAAGAAAAATAAGCAATAAAGATACAGGTTGCTTCGCACTTTCTATCCAGAGCTATTCATGTAATTTATGACTTAGTAAATATTCACTGTTTTACCAATGAGGAAATGAAAGCCAGACGAGCCTTAAAAATAGCTATTCTGAATTTTTTTCTTCTGACATTAAGAAAAAAACCCCACAAATTAATCAAAGTACCAGCTAGTGTTTCAGAGTCTCCCCCACAGACAGAATTTGTTCCGATATTAATGATGAGCAACAAAGCAACACACAATTTACAATACAACCCTTGTTAAAGCTCTTTATGGTCCGACGTGTTCTAGTTTTAAGTTTAGTTGAGTGTCCTCTCATTAGCATTAACTTAATATTTGAGAAGGGATTAAATAAGACCAACTGCAAAGTTGGCTTGATAGACAGAACAGAGGAATCCTTAGCCTAACAAATACCAGTCACCTACAACTAGCCAAATGTGTCACAGTATCGTAAATCAGGGTCTACACATTGTTTTAGAAACGATTATTTACCATTGTTTTTCAAAATCATCATGAGAAGACCTTCAAAAATATTGGTGAAATATCTCAAACTCTTGACTTGCCCTGTTGCTAAGCCTGTAGTAAGAAGAAACTACCGCTCTCCAGACTCAAATAGCCTAACTTTGACTGCACATGTCATTCCAGCAGGCTTTGTTCTTGCAGTTAGACCAGGGAAAGAACCAGTAAGACAACCGGCAAAGGAGAAGTTTAATGTGATTTAGAAATTTACACCTTATCATCTTCTCTCAAGCTTGCTTCAAGAAACAGGAGTAATATTCCATGGAAAAAGTCAAACTTTTCATGAGAATGAATAGCATTTTGATCTTAAGGCTGCTTCATCTGCTCTACAGAGTATCTTTGCAGAAAAGGTTTTCCTAACGTAAATCTTCACAAAAGTCCCTGTAGCTATAAAGTATCAGATAAAAAAATAAGTAGGCAAAAGTTTTGCCAATTGATTTATACTCAATATAAGGAATGAATGGAAGTCATTATTGGAAAGTGCTTTTACTCATGTTTTTGAAGGTAATATTGACATTCATAAGTATTTCTTGAACAGGTGTACAGAGATACGTTAGAGGAGTTGTCACAATCCCTGTTTGAAGGGGAATTAAAGGCTGGGCCTTTAATTTAAGGTAAAAGTGCTACAGATATTACCTTAATAGCCTAGGCAAGTTGGAACAGGAATTTTTTTTAAGTTGTTCCTTTTATTTTCACCCCTTAACCAATACTTCATCAGGGTTAACTACCTACAGTGATTCTCAAACTAGATGAGCGTACAGTACCTGCTTTTCAAGTTCAGGCTGAGCAATGAGCTCGGGTATGAAATCCAGACAGATGTGCATCGACGGAATCCCTGCCACTGTCAGTGCCAGAAGCTCACATGGATAACCCTGCGTGATTAAGAAAACAGCTATGTCAAAGGTGTTTTAAAAATTTTGTTGCAATTAAGATTTTAAATTAGATCTGCGTTAATGTGTTTTTCAGAACTAATGTACTTGTAAATCTCTTTTGTTCAGAATTATAAGCACCAGGCCTGTATGCCAAGGCACCATGAGGCAGGCTGGGTGACAAACCCAGGGACTGAATCAGTTCTTTATCCTCAACGCTCAATGTATTATTTGCACATCCACCACCCCTCCACTCCCCAAACTAGACCAGGCTGCAGTGACCCTTTCCCTCTGCGTCTTTCTCTCGTGTTCCAAACTTCCCCACAGGCCCCAACTTGCTTATTTCACGACTGCACCACTGACTTTTAACCACTTAATCAGTTCCAGGTCAAGGCAAATTAACTCCTTTTAAAGAGCCTGCCATCTGGCAATGAGCAATTCAGCACACAATAAAAAGGCACTTATATTAAAAAAATCGCTAATCTTTCCCCTCTTCTTTTTTTGAAGGTGTAGAGCTGCTTTAGCAGGGGCAACCTTTCTCCTTCCACTCCAAAGAAATAAACTGTGCCCTAACCAAAAGGAAAGAGAAGATGTTTACATTCGAAGCCAAATTACAGTTTTGAATAATGGGTATATTAATTTAAAAACATGGCTAGAAAAAAGTAACCTACAAAAGATGTGGAACAAGTTTTCCTTGGCCTAGAATGGACAAGCTGTTTTGGTATAAAAAAGGGCAGGGGCACAAAGCAAGCATGTGTTTAATGATGAGGAACAGGCATAGTTTAGCTGTTCCGTTCTCAGCTACAACACAGAGTCCAAGCACTGAAATACGGAGGAAATGTAGGTACCGCAAATCTGGCGAGATGTGAAGGAGCGAAGTGGTCCATTATAATTTCTGAGGAACACAACAACAGAATTCAACATCATTTGACCACTTCATTTGGTTCTTTCTTAACCAGAGAAACCAGGGAAGAACTAAAATAGTGCAAAGCAGACCTGGAAATGAACTAGTTTGACTATGTTGGGATCCGCTATATACATCTGATGCAGCAGACAGCAGATCAGACACTGGACCTCTCGAAGATTACACAGCAAGCTATCTTCTTCTTCTTCTAGTTCTGGACTCTTCGGGCCTGTGGTACTATGAACACTCTTTAGCAAACTGTGGATATTACTGCTCTGGGCTTTCTCTTCTTCTGTAGGTAAGCAGATCTCTAGGAGAATCTGCACAGCAGCACTGTCCTGTGAAGAAAATAAGCAACAGAAGATGCATTAAAACCCCCAAGGAAATCAAATACAAAGGAATGAGAATTCAAGAAAAGGAAGACTGTCAGGTGGCTAGAATTTCTAGCTATGGATTTTTCTTCTGTACAACTCAGTTCAAGCATCACAGCCCCTGAAGTACATCAAAAAAACCCAACACTTTATCTGTATCAAGACTCGGAGAACAAAAGCTTAATCTAATGGATCATCATAACCACAGATCAAAAGAGTAAATTCAAAGGAACCTCATATTGTTTCAAAATAAGTATCCGATGGTCCCTTAAAGCATGCAGATCAGAAAAAAATTTGCACATGACCATGTAATTCACAGTGTTCAGAGGAGACTACGCTACTCATTTAAATACAAATCTTCTTATTAACTCAAAAATTGTCTTCTAACCAGGACTGTATATGGGACGCGCTTCCAGACAGAGGTGAGAAGAGACTGACTGTGAAACAGGATTACTCAAGAATTCCCATAATGTCAAGCTAAGTAAGTTAACTGTTCTTCAGCCTCACACTTTACAACGCTGGCTGCTTCTCTTCAATAACACAGGTCAAATGATCGTGCGCACGTCTGTCACATTTATTCACGTTTTACTGCTGCAAAGTTAAGCCTCTGGATAATGCAAGCAACAAGGCAAAAGGACCAGTAAGCAAAACTCTTCTGTTCTAACTAACAGAAAAGAACACTATCAAAGCAGTTAACCAACACAATGCTTCAGACTAGGAAACAGAAGACCAAAAATATTTAACAACCTGAACAGAGAGGCAGTTTTCTTCTTCATCGTAACAGAAGTCAGTAAAAAAAAGAAGTAAAAAGGCCTCCTTTTTTAATTTCCTGTTACTGTACTTCTGTTTTATCTTTGTCTTTCCTCACATCATTTAATATCCATTTCTTCTCCCCTTACCTGAGCGGCAAGCAATGCATTTTTTAATTCTTCCCTTGTAACTTCTGGGGCTTCCGGACCCATTGTATTGTTTTGGGATGGCCTAATGTCCTGCTCTGCTGTTTCTTTTAGGTGAGAATTGAGGTAAGCTTTTGAAGCAAGAAGATAACCGTTCAACATGTGCAAAGTTATATCCATCAGAGGAGGACTCCTGATAGGGGAACACATGACAAAATAAAGGCATTTCAGTAGGCAGAACAATAAGACAGTAGTAACGTGAAGAAACTAAAAGCACTCCTCAAAGGCTCATTTGGCTGCAGTCCGGTTCATACTCAAGCTGTTTTCCCTAACACGGCAAAATACTAAAGGTCACAATCCTTTCTGCTGCTCTGCCATTCAGTCCCACTTCTCTCATGCACACACATGTATGCGTACATGCTACAAAACCAAAGAACTGCTGAAGAGAGTAATTTCTGATGAACAAAGGAAACCCAAAAAGTCTTGGCTGTATGTGAAGTAAGGAAAAATAATGATCTGAATGGTGAGGAAAAATAAGGCAGACAAACTGTGAACTACTTCCACAATACTAAGACGGTAGTTTTCAAATCACATTGCATTACAAATCTCCCTATCAGTTTTAGAAATGTAGGATTTTCAATTTGCATCCAGGGCTGAAGGGACATACATTTAAAAATTTCACCTATGGGCTGGGGATTAAAGATGTCATCAGCAGAAACCTGAAGTTGCAGAGTTGCAGCAACTCAAATGAAAATTGGATTCACGACTCAGTTGCTAAAAGGCAAGGAACGACAGGTGCATACAAACAAGCGCGTGAAGAACAAATCAAGCTGACTATTAGCCATTTCTTATGAACAAAAGGATAATACAAAAGGGGAAAAATAAAGCACAACTGACAGAAAACACGAAAAAGAATACACAAGGAATAAACCTAGGGGCTGAAGTACATTTAAAATTATTAACCATATCTTTTTTAGAGTAACAGATGCAATTTTCTTCATTACTATGAAAAAGCAAAGTTATCATTTACAAAATCTGACTTATTGTTCACATTATTTCATACTTTTCTTAAAAGCTGGTCTACTGCTATCAGTCACGATCATTTTCACTACCAAAATTCTCAGCTTATTCTTCTGCATCAGAGCCATAAAGCAGCATTACACATCCTCCTCTGTCATCGCTGACATCTAGAGGAACTAATTTCTAAGTACTATTGCAAGACTTTCTTGGGAAATTAAGCAAATCTACCTTTGTAATATTCATCAAGCACCCACTGGCAGAAACTGTTACCCAAAAGGATGGAACAGCTACCGGCCCATGAGGGATGGCAGAAGACAGTGCGCGCAGTGCGAGGATGTCACAGCTACAACCTCAACCACCACCACCACGTGGCAGCAGCCATTTTAAGCATGCTGCAATGTCTATTTAGAACAAATTCACTCACGCAACTCTAAAATGGATGATCTATGCACAAATCCCAAAGTTTCCAAAACAGAACTGCGTGTAAGGTTGTCCGACAGGACTGCATGACACGCTGAAATAGCAGCACAGCTCGCGCAGTCCTCTGACCAACGAGCTTAACACAAAAAAGATGGAACTTTTGATATGATTAGCTTGAAAGTCTGTTTTGAAGTACTGAAAGTTTTTAGAAATTTTCTACGAGACACCTTTATGTTTAGCGTTCACTGTGTATCCATGTAAGTACCACAGAACATAAAAAGCTAAAGGAGGGAGATGCTCACCTGTGAACTCTCTGATCGCATCTCAGTACAATCAAAGGATCAATCATCAGATCATTCTGAGTGTATTTCTGCTGTCGGACTATTTTTACTGAAGGCTGCAGAGCATTAACAGTCATCACCCACAACCTAAAATGAGATTATTTTTACAATTTTTTTATTAGATAATCTGTAAGAGAATAAGGATCACATAAACATCTGGACACTCCCTTATCTCGATTCGCTGTATTTTTCTAGGCCTATCAAGCAGCAAAAAACCCACGCTTCATTTGCAGCCCTTGAAGTTAACCAAGATGCAGTTAACTTACAGTCACTGGAACGACAGCAACCAAACTGTTTTCACTGCAACAGAGCATCCAGTTTGGCAGAAAAGGCACATTCTTACCAAAGTGAGTTCATGTTTCAGCAGCAATTTGTCATAAACAATGTACGCTATAAAACCATATTACTGTATTTTAAGCAAACTGGTGACTTCCTTTTCCTTGAGGACAAGAAGTACCGTCCTTTTAAATGTAAAGGTTGAAAATCTCAAGAAAGCGAAAAGGAATGCAACTGCAGCACGTTCTATTCAGTCACAACCTCCAATTTCCCAGACAAAGGCATCGTGTCATTATTTTTGAAACAGAAAGTGGCGTTCCACCTATTTGCAACAACAAACTAAACAGTATTTTGAGCCTACCTTCTTGGCATCACAGTGTTAAGAACCATCCAAAGTTTATTGACAGTCTGAAGAATCCGCCGAGGGACTCCAGCATTCAGCAAGCGGTTCATATTTGATGTCAACACTTCTGCATATGGGATCAATTCGCCAGCTGAGAGAAGTGTTAAATGTTCTAAGATCTGCATCAGCTGGGTGTGATTTCCAGGCAGCATGGAAAATGCTATAAAATAAAGACAATGGGATCTTGGTAAAACTGGACATTTTTTCTGACTTGGCAGCAGAACATTTTCATTAAACAAATGCAGTACGATCAAATAAATTAAATGCCTACACACTTCCAAACCGATTATATTCCAACCAATTTGGAAAGAACAGCGCTTACTTCACATGAAGCTATTTACCTTCTTGGAGCTGTTTGGGAGAGTGATTCTTCGCTATGTTTGTAAGAAGCATCCTCCTCAGTAAGGCATCAGTGCCCGTGATCTGCTCCTCGCAGATCCAGTCTTCCACAATGCAGAGGTGCGGATAGTTAGTTGCCAGAAGGCGTAACAGCGCAGAATGCAAGCCTTGGGGGATGTTAAGGAAGCATGCATCTTAGATTTGAGTAGGTACATCTTTCACCTGAACATATTTGTGCTTATCATTTCAACGACAGGCCTTAACTGAATCCCCCTACTGAGAAGTTCAATGAGTTTGCACGTTTATAGCCTCATATTCTAACGCCAACAGAAAGGAAAAGTTACCTTTTGGAAAGGTGGGAGGACCTTATAGTAACTCTTAAACTCAGCCTGGAATAACTACAAATTCTGAGGCAATTCCTACTCTAAAACCTACTCCGGGTAGGTAAGACCTACTGTAAAACGAACTGCCTTCCTCAAACTTTCACTATTACTCTTCAAACGTATCTGTAATCTCACTCATTACTACTGACATTTTAAGAGAAAGGAAGGCACGCTGTGAAACAGGCCATAGCCACAGAGCTGTAAACGCGCTGAGCCTTCCTTCTTCAGGCACACTGGACTCTCACACACGGGTATACCTCCCAGCTCCTGCTGCAGTCCTTGGGCCTGCTGGATGAGGTACTTGATTGGAATCTGATCCATTAATGCTGAAGAGTAAGACTTGGGTTTTTTCTGCATGGCAGCTGTAAGGGAACAGGACAAGAAACCACACACAACAGTCACAGCTGGGAAAAAATTCCTTCCCCAACTGAACAAATACAGAAAACGTAAAGCATTTATGTCTATATTATCCAGATACAATAGAGAAAATCCCAAATAACACACCTCGATCCTGTTAAAGTATTAAATTAAGATCTCCAGGAAACCATTTCTGTGAACGCTTCAATTTAAAGATCTTCCTGGCATACAGACTTGTTGGCAAGATTTACATACTATCTTTGGCCAATTCCAATTGATTTTGAGGTCATAGCTCAAATCTGCACCTTCTTTATTCAAGGGTTTTTGTTCTTTAAAAACCCAGTTGTTACAGGGAATACAAACTGTTGGCACACTCAACACTGCAGTGAGGTGGAAGTTATAAATGCAGGAAGAACTGTAATTGATTTTATAGTATTTCAGTCTTTCTTGAATAGCACGAAGAAAACAGCACTGAAGAATGCTGGAAGTTTTGCACCCTAAAAAGGGCAGGTAAAAACCACCAACCAGATATAAATACGATGTTTTCACTGAAATGAAACTCCATCAATAAACTACACAACAGTCTTTCAGAAGTGATTTAAAGTTTCAATTTCAAAGGTAAAAAGGGATCATTCAGTATTATCAGCTACAAAATTGCCAACCCAAAGAAATGTGCGTGCGAGTTTGGTGACACATGAATATATGAAGATCTGAAGTAATTCAGAAGTCTTTGTTAATTGTTGCTGTACTTATTAAATGGTCATAAACATCTCTGGTAACTTTTTGGCCAGCTTGGACCTTTTTCAATCCAGAAAACAAATTACTCAACTGCAGAGTTTTCACAGAAGCTTTATCTCCTTAATTTCTACAGCATGACTGTATTTATTATAAGAATCTAAACTTTTTATGCTGCGCTTGAATCCGACAGCAACATGAATTTTGCTTATTGTAAGAATTCCTCTCTTTGTATCTAACTGTCAGTTACTCTGTTTTCCACTGAGGCATTCAGGCATACCTAGTATCTTTGTGCTTGCCAGAAGTGCTTCTTCGTATGACAGGACGTAGTAGAGGACGAGTAACTGTGTTGTGATGCTGTATCGTTGAGTAAGACGAGTATTTTCTCCCTGTACATAAAACCACATACAAAGGTCATGTTACATTCCTGATTCTTGAGAACAAAAATTTGGATTTACCTGCACATATGAAGAAAGATAAGGCAGTAAGCCTTGTATAAAAATGTCGAGCTATATGAGGTCCAAGTTCAAAGTTGCAGGGAACTTCTATTTTTTTAATTCTTTTTTTTTTTTTTTAAGTGAGCTTTGAACATAAAATGTATTTTTGGTATCTTAGGACACTAATAAGGAGTAATCCCAGGATTCCAACACGAGTCTACGCTTGCCACTCATTCTACATGTGTCCAAGTGACCATTCCCATACTTCCATCAAAATGAAAATGCTTCATTCCAAACCAGCTAGAGCACCTCAGCTAAATAGCATTTTTATCTAACAAGATCAAGTTGGTACAAAAATTATACAGATCCTACATAAACACCTCCACTTTTCAATCCATGAAGTGCTTTTCCTTGCATGAGTCGGTGAGGTCTCAAGGAAAAGGGCAAAACAGGGACAAATAGCAATCCTCCGAAAAACCTCAGTAGCACTAAACAAGATTCGCTTCAAAACACCTGCCCACCACTGCAGTAGGAGGCAGTTTACTCCACAGGCATTAAAGACAAAACCTGAGGCAACTTAGGAACCTACACCACACATATACACAAAACACTAAACCACACCTTCACAGGAAAGTATGTGAAAGAAGCGAACAAATCGTTTACCCCAGAGAGTCCTTGAAAAACATTCAGTATCTCCTGTTCCGTGACAGGCTGGTTTGTGGCCTCTGGGTTGGATTTAGATGCCGGAGTAAGAATGGAGTTAATGTAGACATCAATAAGAGGCAGCAGCTGAGGGTGGAGCGGAGTGGTGGTTTCACAGAGCTGCCGATAGATCCAGTCCTAGGAAACAACCGTGCCATGATGTGTTTGGTTTCAGAGATGGAGGACAATTTTTTTTTATGTCTGCAAGTACATCTCCTCTTAACTGGTTACAAAAAATGCAAGTGAATGAGGCTGCAACTTTGGAAAGTGTAATACCACTTCTGCGCTGGGCCGGGTCGTAACCTGTATATCCTGGAGCCTGCTCTGTACAGACCCACCGGTGAAGCCTGTCCTGGCTGGAAACATCATTCTGACTACAATTCTATTAAGTGCAAATGGGGCAGAGAGATAATTTATTATGTTTAACTTCGCTAAGTTGTGGTCTCTGGATTACAGAGCTAAAACTGGGTGCCCCAACTGAATACACAGTTCCTTCTTAAATTAAATGGTAATAGGCTCTAAGATTCATCAAGAACTCTGTTCGTACAATTCAGCCAAAAAAAAAAAAACAGCCTGCAAACTCTAATCAACATTCAAAATTATGAACAGAAATAAAACGAAGGTCATACCTTAATAGATACTTTGTGCTTGGTGAACGATCGGCTTTTTAAAAGCTGGTAAATGCAGTGAATAGGTAAAAACCCAGTAATGTTGGCACTGAGATTGCCTGTAACAGGCACACGAACTGCGTGGGCCGTAACAACCTACAGGAAAGTTAGAATTAACAAGAAAAATACCACAAATATTCACCTTATCTTAAAATACCTTAAAATTAGCTTAAAATACCTGTTCAGTGAAAATCTCCTGTGTGAAGATCGTCTTCATTCTGCTGAGTGAGCTGGGCTTAATAACAATCTGAAACAAAGAATGAAGTACTGGCAATTTTAAGCTGTGGCTTTCTTATGAAAAAGTACTGCAAATTTATTTTATAAACTGTTAACTTTCAATGGTTTTAAACTTGTCTTCACTGGGATACCTGGAAAACATTCACATCTATACTTCAAATGTAAAACAAAAATATTTTCAAAGGTCACAAGTTCATCACCCCACGTCTTCCTAACCCTAAAAACCACCTACCAAGCTTTTACATTTGATGAGACACTGTTTCACCACGGTACACCTAAGGCAAGTCTCCCTTGGTAATTTTCAGAAATTAATTACATATGTAGATATTTCTTTAAACTACTTTAAAAGTTTGCAGCTCAGTTTTGAAACTACTCGAATTAGGCTTCTCAAAAAGTTCATTTCTTGCAAATAATGATTTCAACAGTTTTTGAAGATACCTTTATCCTCACATTCCTCCGTATCTGGAGGTACGCACAGTGAATGCTTTTCTAGAGGACTAATTTAGATAATTACTCATTTGTTCACCTTACATTTGCTTTAAGTATATTAGCAAAACCCAATTTCCTTATATTAAAACTAAAGTAAATACAAGAGTATAAATACACAATAAAAAAGTTGATTTTAACAGAGGAATGTATGTGCTCGAAACAGTTTAGGATTTACCTTCATTCCCAAGGTGGAGCAGACCAAATCAATGATTGCACTGAGCTGATTGCTGTGGAAATACATGGCTACCAAGAGAAGCATCTCTCCAAAAGAAGCAGACACGCCAGAAATGCTAATGATAACACAGAGGAAGAGTTAATTTCCAATAGGACATAATTAAATGTGAGATTACCAGAATCATTAAAACAAGAGAAACCTGCTCTCACCTCTCAAAGTAGGCTTCTTCCTTTATCATCCAACTAAGCCACATTACCATGAGTTGCTCCTGTTCTGGGGTGCTGCACAAAGAAAATCCATAAAAGATCCTTTTTGCAGGAACTACTGCTAGTTTTCCTAACAATTACGAGCAGAAAAGCCAGTATTTGAGGAATCTTAAGCCGGGAGACTTTTTGCCACTTCCACCTTAGCGTCAAACAGCTGATAAGCACTGATGTTTAGGACAAACTTCAGTCCAATTGTCGGGCAATTTCCCGGCTTGAATGCACACAGCAGAAAGCTGCATCCATCATATATCTATATGGCCGCTCTTTTGAACGGGGTCTCTACAGAATTTAACCATAAACTTGTTCAACGGAGAAGTGAGCTAGTAAGGCCAACTTTAGCCTTCAAAAACCACTCCAAACTAAGCTAATGCCAATGCTCCCCTCTCAAAAGATTTGCTATGAACAGGAGGGAGAGCAGAGTGGAATATCAAGTTGCTCACCATAGCGTGAGACAAACCCCTTCAATCGACACGTGGAGATTTGTATAAGGAATTAGGAGAGAAAAACCGTGCAGCTCTGGGGAGGCCGTTGCCTTAATGGTGCTAAAACAGTAACATCTTTACAAAGCTCCTCCTTTACTGAGAGGTACCTGACAAGAGTGGAGAAGGCCAGAAGCATACAGAAGGAAAGAGATACGAAGCGAACACCAGCTGGAGTCGCGGGAGGCCGGCTGGTCATCAGCTGCAGCAGCTGCTCAGCTTCTTCATCAGTTGGCCTGAACAGGACAGGAAAAGAACAAAACTCACGCTGCTAATCTAAAAGTGAAGAGATTTCCAATCTCATCACAATAGTTAAAGGTTAAATCTTCCTCTGTTTCTTAATCTGTTTATCAAGTTGCCATCAATAAATGAGTATCAAGATCAACGGCAATTCGCTTTGACCTTAAAGACATAAAAATCTCTGTTAAGAGATAACAACAGTGAGAAAACTTCCCCAGGATATAATCTTGCCTATTAGTACATAATACTTCAATTAAAACTAACAACACATGAAGATGCTGTTAACGCTCTCTAAAAAAGCAAAAGCAGAGGAACAGAAATTCTAAATTCTGGTAGTGTATGTTGCTAAGAGTTTTCAGCTGCTCTCTTCTATGGACTGCTCCAAGCACTTAGGCCTAGACTTGCTTTAAGAAGTCAGAACTGATCTTGCAACATTAAAGAGAGCATCATATTTCTTGCATTATTTTAGCTTTTAAGAAATCAGCAAACTTGATAAATGGATCTTTACTATTAGAATGAAAAAACTTGTCTGCCAAGAACAATACCAGAAAGTAAAAACCATACCTATCTCCACAGACCTTAGCACCACATCATGTTTGCTCTCTACACTATAAAATTAAAGAAACTTCCATCAACTGGCAAATCCAGCCCTCCGTACGTGAGAAGGGCCTCCCCTAGTACCAAAATCGGCGAGTCCTGCCAAGGCTGTTCCAAACCCAAAGCTCTCAACCTCTGTTTAAACGGACAGACAGCGAATAAAAAACACAAGAACATTAAAACATTCATTACTTCAGCCCAGCAATTCCCATCAAAGCGCAGTAGAGGCGTAGCAACGCGCTGGCTTTCACGACATGCTCCTCCTTCAGTCCTGAATACACAGACACGTTTGGCTCCATATCAACATCTGCTTCTTCAACGATGTGCGTGCTGCGAACCGTGGGAAGGATTCCCATGAGCTCCAGGAGCAGCTGCCTCCTCATTTGCCAAAGCACAGAACTGATATTATCTCTTTTTCTCTGTGTAAGAAGTTAAAAGATGAGAACAGCAGTGTAAAACTCATCCCATCAAACAACATATTACACAAGAGCTTCTTTAATGATGAAGTCAAGGAAATAAAAGAAGGGGGGATGGCAAAGGGGAAGAGGAATTTTTTTGAAATACAATTTTCAGTCTCAGGGCAACCGGCAACCATGATCATAGTACACATCAAAGTACAACCTTTAACTAACCCAACTAATTAAGCAAGTCAAGACAACTTCCTATTATGAACACTGAGGATGAACAAATTTACCAGGTAAACATTACAAACGTACAATTCCCTGGTTTCCACGCGCACTGGATCATCTACCTAAAAACCTCCCAGAGGAACAACCAAACAGCTGCCTCCGGGGACACTATTTCTAGACCTGCTGGTCCCATAAGAAGAGGCTGCCTTGCAAAGGTTGCTGCAAGACACGCAACAGGATTTAGATGCATGCAGACAAATATAGGTGCCCACATCCAGAAGAGTTCCAGCAAACTATAAGAATATTTTTTTAAAAGCAGAATATTCAAAGATTTTCATACCTGTTGTCCATTTCGGATAAAAGTTCCAAACCAAGTTCGAACCTTTGCGTTTGTTCCAAGCAGCAAACCACTCACAAAACACACCAGGTCGCTCACTCCATCATCTGAAGATTCATTTTTGGTGTGATCCAAGGTCAAAGCCACACCAAGACCTGGCAGATGACACTCTTCCACCTAGATAAAATGCCCAGGCTCAATCACCTTTCTTGTTTCAAAAGCTCCAGTAAGGTTCATCATGATGATTTCCATGGCAGACTTACCACCATGCCTCGGACCCTCAGAGCTTGGGAAGGGTTCATTTTACACAGGTGGCGCAGTGCTTCTGTTCTTCGACGGCCTCCAACACTTTCCTCATCCTGCCGTTCACCGTTCTTAATCAAACCTCTGCAAACTAAATATCCACCAGGAGGTGTAAGTGAATCTGCCCTTTCCAACAGAAAGCCACGTAAAGACACAAAGCCCAGGCGTTCCGTTCGGCTCACTGTGACTTATTAGCTGGGCCACACAAACCTTGTCCAGGCAAGAACTCACGATCTACAGTATATAAGCAGAAGAAGGAGTAAATTTCTCCTCAGAGAAATTACAGGCTTGTTACAGATTTATGCATCATCCAATTAGTATCCAACAGCCTCTCTAATGTAACCCATGCATCTGGCAGCCCTGGAGACGGAAATCTTTATTGCGAGGTAAGGGATGTTAAACAGGCACCGTCAATATAAATTTTTGACCTCGGAATGCGGCTCAGTGTAAAGGACAAGAAGCAGCAGCAAGGCTAGACCGGATCCGTAGCCCCAGTCCTTCACTGCCCGAGTCAGCGTTTACAACGGTGACCCACAGATGAAAAGCTGCCGCAGGCACACAGGGAGTCAACGAGTAGGTTGCAAAAAAGGGGGGATCAACACGATGAGATGGGGAGCCCAGCAGCGTCTCTAGGTACAAATGCATCCAAATTAGCTTTCATAAGCTGAATGCTCTCCCGTTCAAATGTTTATGACACATGGCTTAGCCCAGAATTAACTACACGGCTAGAAATCATTTCAAACCTTTAGAAAAAGCAAACTGGACAAGAAAAAACTGGAACTCACCCTCATTAAAGCTATCAGGAACATTGGCCACCAGAAGGCAGAGGAACCAGGCTCCATTTTTAACGTGCAACAGAGCTTCGGCAACATCAACTATCGGCAACAGTGACGGCAGCTCTGGATAAAAGGAGGGTTTTAAAAGTCACAGTGTTTCACTGTGAAACAAGTAGAAACCTTGCTTTTAATACGCATTAAAATAAGATGATCGAGTCAATAAATGGAAAATCAATTTGTGATCTATTCCTCTTTCAAAGAGCTAGACAGCCTAGATTAACCTTAAATCGGTCACAATGCCCCCAAAGGTGATTTTATTAAATTTGTAAGAGGTTAGAAAACACTATAAATACAGAATACTACACCTGCTTGCAAAATGCAGAGAACATCTGCTGCCTCCTCCAGATAAACAGGACTCTCGAAGAGCTCGGAAGATTTGAGGAAAAACTCACCATTTGATTCTGACACCTACAAGACATTATTCACCATCACTGAGCAGGTTTTACAAGGCAATTTGTCTGATCAGTCTTTTATGGCTTTAAATTCAGCAGATGGAGTACACTAAAAACTGTCAAAAATGTGCAGCTATAAACACAGAACAGGCAAGAAATGCGTTTAGAATAAGAAATATTTACTAGTGGAAATACCTAAATAAAGCTCATATCATCGTTTCTTTCCAGAGGAAAGAACACTAGCTCACTGACAATGCTAAAAATATGGTAAATTTACAGAGGGAAAAGAAAATGCCGGGGGGGGGGGACGGACACAGGAGGGGAAGAGAGATATGGTGGCTAATATCATACTGCCACAGCAGTAAAGAATTGGATGGAGAAAAGTCATAATTTCATTTTCAAATATGACTTCTGCCCTGATGCATCACAAAATCACATTATATTTGAGTAAAGCGTATTACAGAATATACAGAGCCTATATCACATTAGAAAAGATTACCCTCATTTGTTCTGAGGACGAAAGCCTTCCCCGAGGAAGCTGGGTTCAAGAGGAGTTTAATCACAAGCCTCTGTTGGGTCCGACCGAAGACTTTACGTCTCGGTGAGGCAGGTAAGAACCAGAGACGAGTACTCACACACAGCAGCAACACCACGAATGGAACCAGGCAGCACCTCGACCTATCGCAGGTGCATTTTCGCTGACATCAAACTCACAAGTAGCCGGATACGGAGAAATTTACCTTATTCATAATTGCTAATAATTCGCTAAGCACAAGACGAAGCCGACGAGGTGAATCACTGTGTTCAAATTCCAGTGTCAGCCCATGCTGAAGCTGCGACACCAAGATGCTCTCTCCACTGCCCCCTCCTAGCTTGTGCCTAATAAACAATTACAAACAATGACTATTAAACGCTTCTGCACACACGGACGTTTTCCCAGTTAAAGGAAGCCAGTAATCCTGCAGGGATGCCTTCTACCATGCTAACGATCAGAAAAGGCTGTTGCAGCTGTAGGACGTTATGAATCGACTCTAGCGGATTACTGAATACGAAAACCTTATCAAAATTCCGAGGGCCCCCATTCCCCAGCAGCACAGCCAGCACGGAGGAGCGCCGGCCGCCTCCCGCCCTCCCGTACACCGGGCAGCTCCCTCCCCGCGCCCCTCCCGGGCGGGACAACGTCCCCGGGACGGACACAAAACAAACACTGCCACCAACGGGGGTTCTCCCCACGGGATTCTGAGGGGACACGAGGGACCAGGCGAGTGCGGCACCTCCGCCGCCGCGAGAAACAAACCACGGCGGCTTTGGCGCGTTTGCTCCGAGTTACCGGAGCTGCTGCTCCTTGCTGGCGTCCTGCTCCAGGGCGTGGAAGTCCACGGAGAGCAAGGCCACGATGGAGTTGACGGCCTCCACGCCCGAGAGGAGCCGCAGGATGAGCTTCTTGTCCTGCGCCCAGCTCTGGCTCTGGTCGGCGGGGGCGCAGAGGGCCATGCGCACCAGGCAGGGCAGCAGGAGCCGCAGCCCGGGGGCGCGCAGGCCCCCTCTCGCCCCCCCTCGCCCGCAGCTAGAAATAAGGCGACGGCACAATCAAGGCTTCGTGAATAATTTATTCCATTTGAAATTTTTTTAAAAAGTATAAACCTTTTTCATTTCCTCAATCACAATTTGTACAACTCAGTGTTTATGGCATTCGGCAGCAATAGTGTTTGTTCCTTAAATCGCTTTTATTATTATTATTATTATTCATTTCTGTGTCACGATAAATAGCGGGCCGAGGGCAGGTGGCGGCGGCGCGCCAGGGGGGCGCGCTGCCCTCGAGGGACCCCGGCGAGAGGTCCCGGCCTGGCCCCGGGCCCAGCGCTCGGCCCGGGCCCGGCCTCCAGTTCACGGGGAAAAACCCCCTCCAGCGAGGCCAGTAACGTCCCCACAGAGCGACCCTGAGGATTGTGGTAGGTCCCAAATCCAGTTTTACTGTAAATTAAGCTTTACTCCACTGAAAATAAAAAGTACACCCACAAACAATAATAATCAAAAAAAAAAAAACCAAAACCAACAAACAAACCCCTTTAAGTATGAAGCATAGTCCTGGGTCCTTACAAACCAACCCCCAGAGCAGCCCCCGCAGGCGGAGGTTGCGGAGCCGGTGGCGATGGCACCCAGTTGTCACCGCAGCAACGACTCCCCAAAAGAAACCCAGATCCAAACATCGTTTCTGCAGCATTGCTACCAAACCAGACCGATATGCTGTGCCATACTGGTGTGCAGCAAAGTATATGGTGCAATAGCATTATTATTCTTTTTTTTTAAAAAAAAAAAAACCAACATTTTACTCTTATTTTTGAAAGCTTTAAAATAATGTAACATAATATTTTGATATTACAGTATTAACAAATAGTGCTTGATTAAAGACATCTGCAAGTCGTCATAGCAACACATGAAGTTAAAATTACCATCAGAGGTAAATATAGAAATACAATAATCTGCGCCATAACTGACAGCTCAGTAAGAACATAGCTGAGGATTTAAATATAAATTCATTTATGTTTAATTATTTCAGGAAACGCTAGAAAGATCTAAATGTTACAGCTACTTTAAAACGTAAGGGTTGTTTGCAAGTACAATTGGTGGCCGCTAGTCTAGCAACGGGGTTTTCGGAAATCTAGTTCAAATAGAAGTGAGTCAAAGGCTTAAATGCAGTAATGGCTAGGTTAAAATATGGGGGGGGTTGTTGTCGTGTTGTTTGGTTTTTTTTTTTTAAATCGGAATGGAAGGATCTCAGATTCTTCTTCCATTGGACACTTAAGAGCTACTTAACAGAGCACTGCCAGGAACAGTATTTTCTTGCAAGACCATTTTGCAAAGCTATAGCTGAAATTTTCAAATATTTAAGCTTGTACTTGCTAAAGAACCCAAGTAATTGGACTGTGACAATTTTATTTATAAACCAGCTATTATGTGCACTTAAAATAGTTAAATGAAAGTAGCTAAACAAAAACCTATGCCCAATGTAGTAGCTGGCTCCATGGTGCTGGCAGGTTTGATATGTACGTTGCCGGCTGTGACTATCACTCCAGAAACGGCCCCTCCTGTTCTTTTCTAGTGGTTATGAGATTAACATTTACACAAACTGCGTTTGAGGGGGGAAGTGGGAAACTGGCAGCTTTCACAGTTGGGAGTCTCACAGGGAAGGCTGAGGTCCAGGTAACAGAACACAGTTACGCCGTGTTCAGGCAGCCGATTCACTTACCTTTATGAATACAAGGCAGATTTAACACAAAGGAAGCCACACCGAAACCCAGCCCGTGGCATGTGGGTAACTGAGCCGGGGCTAAAAATGACCACTTAGCAACAAAGCTTAAAAAAAAATAAATATATAGGACATATGCTTTGAAAATTCCAGTTTTAGGGGCACTTTTCCACTTCCAGCATCTCAGCCAAATGAGAAAAAGCCTTCTGTAAGACAGTAACGCGCTGTTTAATCTGCGGTGCATTGCCGTTATCAAGATAAACTAATGGACAGACCCAGTTTTTAACTCTATTTATCAAAATATGCTGACTTCTGATTGCATTCATGTTATTTTGAAGAAATGACTGAAAATTTTCATCACCAATTGTACAACTTGTTTATACAAAACCAAAGAAGTTGCTAATATTGTATATACATGATTCAAGGAGACTGTTAATGTGAAAAATGATCTCAGGCAGGTATTTTGCATTTACGAAACATGATTTTCATTAACAACGTAGATTTTGTAAATGCAAGCGAGTTCTTCCTTGCAGAGGATTCACAGCGGGTGCACAAATGGATCTTAAAACTTGCTCCTTTAAAGGTTTAAACCAGCGAGATGGACAGCATTAAGACCCAGGACATGGGTTATCGCAACAGGCTCACGCGAGCGCTGCAGGAGTTAAGTTTTTGATCTGGCAGTCAGATGAGGAACCCAGAAAAAGCATATGCAGTTGCTCTCCAGCACCCGTAGGGGCTATTTTAGAGCAGCATCAGACATTTGGCATGTGCTAGGAGAAAGGAAGGAAACTACCGAGAAAAAATGGTGACTGTAGATAGAGGGAGACGATTACAAAAGCCTTGTGATTTGTCAGTCCCTTCCTTAGGGAGGGCTCAGCCTCCTTGGCACATGCCCCAGCCAGAGCCTGAAAAGGGGCTACGGCGAAGGCCGCTCACTGATACTTGGGATCTTCACCACAGTGCCAAAAATACATTAAAAAGGAAAACGTTCAGGGTTTCGTGCTGTTTTTTTTGTTTGGGTTTTTTTTTTTTTTTTACTAGTGGAATAAAATCTGAATACCAGAATTCACTGAGAATCTATATACACCACATTTTAGTTAAACACACACCAATCTTAAAGTCAAGATTGACTATTTTTGCATTTGTAAAATGGCTAGAGCTGGGCTAAATTTCAGCCTTACAGGAGACTTTGGATAAGATCAGAGTTTTCTGTGTGTTACACCTCAGATTCACGTTTTATCGCAAATGTTGAAGAAAATAGCGCAGTCACCACAGTGCCAAGAATATCTAGGTAACAACAATGCACAATAGATATTCTTTTAGTATTAAAACTTGTATACTGAAAATAGGTCTGAGAATCTAGCCACAGCCCTGAACCATAACACAAACTTCAGTTGAAGAGTTTATTCGTTTTATTCTCACTACAAGTTAAACCACCTACAATATCACTTATATATTGCCATTGTTACTCTGTAAAGGTGTGATATAAAATGCTGTAAGACCCGGTACCTTTTCAATTTATATAAACACAGTGAACTTCATTACTGTACATGTACTCTGCAACTACAGCTTAGCTGTAAATCCCCCACACACAATGGTATGGACATTAACCCCTCTATCCCCATTAAACTGTACATCAAGACAATACAAATTTACTGTCCCCACCCACCCCTTACAAAAAAATAATACTCTAAAAGCAACCTACTGCAACTTTTAATTAAGACGATTACATATATTTTAGACCAATTGCTTTAAAGCAAGAAGGCAGTATAAACCTTCTAGGAAAATTTTTATAAAAGAGGTTAAGAAATATAAGACAATTTATACATTTAAAAACTTACAATAAATAAGAGATGCAGGCATTTTTGAATACTAGGTACTATAATCCAATACAAGAACATCTTGATGTTCCGAAGCCATAGGTTGAAACTTATTGTTCCTCATGTTTCTTCTCATCTCCATGCTTTTAATATTCATTAACCATGACTGGGTACTATGGCTCATTACTCTTCACAAATACTGCGGTTGGGGAAAAATGGTTAATTTTGCTACTAAAAATGTTATAATACACTTTCTGATCATCATTCTAAAGCGTCCCCCATAGTCGATGACTCAAAGACAGTAGGGCAATAGGTGCCCCTCTCACAAGTCAAAACAATATTTGCTGGAAGTAACAAGATTCATACCCCATCACAAACCACTTGCACTGAGAAGAATTATAATTTAGTCCTGCAGTGAAATATCCCTTTTCCTCATTTTTGTCTTGCAAAATTCAGATGAAGATCACAGCATATTCATGATAAAGTTATACAACTGATTCAGCACCACAAAATGAATCGGGAGACATGACCGTCTGTCCTGGGTTGCAGGATCACAGGTTAGCCAGGAGAGTGCATTGTACTGTTCCAGAACAAACCTGAAAAGCAAACAAGCTTCCATCAAGCCAACAGATTTTCTCACCAGTATTTTTCAGTCCCGATTTAATATAATCCAGTTTCTTTGGTATTGAAAACAGAAGATAGGTTTGTCAACATCCCGAAATAACATGCCTTCAAAATTATTACAAGCAGCTCAAAGCTAAGCTTTCTTCCAGTGGAAAACTGTCATTTTAATTGTCTACGCTTAATTAATGTCAAGGGGTTCACATATTAAAAAAAGCCACGAAGAAAAACAATCTGATGTTTTCTCAACAAGTATCCTACGTTTACATGAGTCTCTCTAGACTCTTGTACTTCAGCACTTCAGTATTCATACAAGATCGCCATGCAAAATCCTGACTTAACTGTAACTATCTTCCACTCATTTTATGCACCATCTTCTGTGTTGCACCTCAAACTCTCTTCTAGCTTGAGGCATTCACTGTCTTTCAAATATTTTCAGTTGTAACCAAAATCGATTTGTTAAAGAAGGGCTTAGACATGTTTGGTTTTAATTGCCCCATTCTGTGATAAAGTCATCTTTTAATCACTCAAAGCACAGCAATTTATATTGTCTCTGTGATGTACTAAGGATATCAGCAGCACAAAGAAAAAACTACCAGAAATAAAAATAAACAAATATGTATCTTCATTGCAGTAGTATTAAAAATGGAACGCACAATATTTTTTGCAAGTGATCAATCATAAATACCTGAGCACATCAGAAGTTTGATTAGAATCAAGTGGATGGGAGTGTTTACTGTGGAGTAGCTCGTCTGATTGCACTGAAGGCACGTGGAGGTGCAAAGAGGCCTAAGAAAAGAAGGAAGATGCTAGCAATTACTGCCCGATTCAACTACAGCGTATTTTCTTCCCTCTCTATCAGTGACCTGTATCTTGCAGTCACCTTTAGTTCTCTGACACACAGGCCAACACAAATCTTATCCTTAGCCCATCAACAAGTTCAGGAATTATCACAATATAAAGGAAACGCACACAGATCCCTCCTAAAAGCACAGTACGAGTAGGAATTTTTTTTTAATCCCTTTGCTACATTAAGTGATTACTAAAAAAGCAAGTCAACTGCCCCATGATGTCTTCTAAATAATACCCAGACTTGGAAGTTCAGTTGCTTTCCATAAGACTGGTCTATTTATATTCCATATATAGAGCTGCTTAGGGTAAATAATAAATCCTCTATTAAAAAAAACCCCAAACAGTCTTATATCAAAGCCACAGCTGAGCTTAGGCCAAGAGGAACCGCTAATCCAGACACAAATAAGGCTGCATCAGATACATCTGTATCATTAGAAAATAAAGTGTAGTATTAGAGATACTAATTTAAGTGAAAAGTGAATAATGTTAATACACAAAGTTTCTCTGTATACTACTGCATAGCCTTAAGTGTGCCAAGTATGTCTTGATTGTGCCATAAAAAGATAAGGGGATCAGACAATACGCACACAGATGATACAATGGCTATCACTTGGCAAAAGCCAACATGGAAAACCCAGTGCAAACCTTTATGCCTTGTGCAATACATAAAGAGATTTATTT